ACGAGGGCAGCACAGAGGAAGTGTGTGAAGAATCCAGCGTGGAGCAGAGCTCCTGAGGGAGAGAGCAGCAGCAGCGAGGAGCTGAGTTTGCTAGAAAAGCTTTTGATAAGCCATGCAAGAGCTGGCCTGGGCAGTCAGTCACAGCCCCATCCTCTGGATCGTATTTGAACATGGCAACAGTCACATTAGCCTAGTGAGGCTGGGATCTTGTTTTGGAAGTTCCTAGCAACACAGGCATGAAAGAAAGGCTGTATGCAGAGCAGTTGGGCACTGAGACAGGGGAGTGGAGATGTTGTGTTTAGCTCTGCATATTCAGATGGGCTGACCTGCAAGGACAAGCACTGTGTTTTTGGACTTGTACACACCCTGTTTTCACACAAACATTTCATGTAGATTTGTAAAATGCAATAGCTTCCAAGCATATTTTACACAGTCACAGTCTAGTGACTGAAGAATCCACTAATTAAGAAGCCTCTAATTAGGCTTTTAAATGATAAACTGTAATGGCTCTAGTGCAGCTGGTGTAAACTATAGAGTAAATTATATCCAGTTGAAAGAGGCCTTAATTATGTAATTATATAACATACTCTAGAGACTTAGAAAGATAAAAGAATTTTTAGTATCTGCAATTAAAAAAAAAACAAGGGAATAACAATAAAGCTCTTAAACCAATGAAAACAAGGAAATTCAAAGTTAATCTGAAAAGCTGTGCTGGTACTTTCTTTTATTCTCATGTTGTTCTAATTTTTGGAGGGTTATTTTTGTTCTTTTTTGTTTTCATGATGGATGAGATAAAGAAGTATTGTTAACCAGGAGCTTATGTCCCCTGCTTTCATTTTTCTTGCTTTATAGGTCCATGTGCAGCATTAATGATACTCAGCAAACTTTCTGGGACTTTACTTTTGCAGAAATCCCTAGCAAGAACACACTTATTAGCCAGCTTATCTCCTTGCATTTTGACTTAGAGAATGGTTGGTTATTACTCTTTTGAAGTCAACAGGACCTCAAAAATTGGTCATATTTGGCCCTTGGAGACCATGTTTAGGCCACATCTAGCCTGCATGTTGTTGGTGCAATGTTGGCAGCCATTCTCCATGCTGGACTTACCAAGTGGAGAAGTTGGTTGGATGTATCTGGGACAACTCAGCTAAGTGGAGATTGCACTCTGGGCTTCTTTTTTCCAGGGCTTCATTCTGCTGTGCTGAAACTGAGGAGAGTTTAGCCCTTGCCCAGACTGAGGCTGGGCCAGACTCCAGTCTGCCTTACCTTTAGACACCAGCACTATTCTTCTTGCCCCAGCTCTGCCTGACAATGCCTCCTTGGGAACCTCACCAGCTCTGTCTCCAAACCTGCATTTGCTCTCAGCCTCCCTCACTTACCCAGCTCTCTCTGCTGCCCTACCTGGCCATCTCCATTCACGACTGACACTGATGTGCTGCAGTGAGCAAACGCCTCTTTATACAGAAAAGGAAAGATGTCTCTGATATGAGCCTGGTGGCTCTGCTCATCTGCTGCGAATTCTTTTTGTTTCTTCAATTACTGCTCCTCAGGACAAGGGCTGTGCTTTTTTTGTCTGTGAGCTGCAACTGCATAGAAGATACAGTAGGCTGTGATGTGGAGAGAGCTTAGTTCCTACAGCTCTTCTTAGGGACTGGCTTTCACAGCTGTAGGACCAAGCACCCCATGACAGCCAAACGAGTAGTGCTTTTCTTTCTTATTCCAGCCACATTCAAGTATTTTTATCTGGAAATGTCACAGTGAAAGAAATAAGGAATGCAGATCTCTTAGTAAATTTTTACGGCTGATTAATTAGCCCAAAGAGTATTAAATTGTGCTAATGTAGTTTGCCTCTTCGATGCTGTCTTTTGACTTCAATGGAACTAAATACATGCTTAAAGTTAACTACGTGCTTAAGTGCTGTGGTGAATCGGAGCCTAGGGCATTAATTAGAACTTGGCTCAGATTTACTTTCAAGGCTTCCCCCCCCCCCTTTTTTTCTTCTTTTTTTTACTCTTCAGCACTCAGCAGTTTAATTGGTATGCAGATGTTCCCCTTTATTGCTGGCAGAGGCCTCTGTCACTGCTCTGAAGGTACTCAGACTTCAAGGCTGGTACAGTGGGCAGGAAGAAACCCCTCCTGAGGGCTTTCAAGCTTTGTGGGAAATAATGATATATGAGACAGGGATTCTTTTGGAACCTGAAGGGAACATGACAGACAGAATAATATGGGAGGAAAACATTGTCTTCACAATTGAGACTGATGTTCTCATCTTGTCTCCTTGTTATTGTTACCAACCAAGACTGAGATGAGCTTTTTATGAAGAACTTCATTTTGTGGCAGGTTCTGTATGTTGGGCACACTGCACTCAGTGGTAGCTTTCCATCCAAAGTACAGATATTGACAGGCTCTGAGGAACCCTTTGAGGTTGTGGTTTAGCTTAAAACCTAAAATTCCTTCCAGCATTGACATGCATTTTGTCAGGAATGACAGTTGCAATTTGGTAATCTCTTAACTGCTTTGCCTGCCTATATGAAGAGTTGTTGGGCACAGAAGTGTCAGCTTTATGAATCAGATTTTCTCACACTTTATTAATTTCACTTTCCAATGTTTAGTGCATGTTTGCAAGAGACAATTGATTTGTACGAATCTGTGTAGGTTGGAGCAAAGCTGGAACTAAAGCAGAAATGCAAGTTGACAGCAATGCAATAGCTCTAATTGTCAGACCCCAAAGGCACTATTTAAAACAACACCTCTGATGTTTAGGTTAAAAATGACCCTCAATTTGCCCTCAAGTTGCCATGTCCAAAAAGAAATGTTTTTATGTGTGCTCATTTCAAATGGATTAGCCAAAATATCAAGTGCTCATTTTCTATACTTTTATTTTCAAATTAGGTGATTCAAACTGCTGTTGTGCAGGGTACTGGAAGATGGCTGTTTCTTAACTCCTCCAGAGTAAAAGCTGTCTTTCAGGGGATGCTTTGCACATGTGAGATTTATGTTAGTATTTTTTGGCACCCACAATTTGCATTCCAGCTAATGGGAGGTAGAAGGACTCATACACATACCGTGTATTGTGGGTGCAAAAATGCAAATAGAAATTACACCCAATGTGGAAAGGGCTAGGAAAACGTACCTCCTTGGATGTGAGCGGGGCAGGTTAGGAAACATCATCTTCCTTTTACAATTGTCTGCTACTCTTTCCATTTTAGGAGAACTGGGATCTTGCTGTTAATCTTACAAAAATAGATGCTGTGGTGAAGCCTCAGGCATGAATAAAATTGGATGTTAATCTTAAAGCAGATTTTTTACAGCCATGGACTCAGAGCAGTGAATCCAAATGATTTTGGAAACTGTGGGTTTTACTTATTTAGATCAAATATGGGGGAAAAGATCAGTGGCACAAGTACATATTGTAACATTTAGGGCTCCTGAAAGTTGAGCAGATAAGCACAGCAAACCTTAAACATCTCTGACTTGAGACAAATAATAGGCAAATCTGAAAAAAGCCTACTGACAAGAGGAGTGGGTGTTGGTGGGTGACTTGCTGCAGTTTTAGAGCTGTTAAGTGTAGGGATTTTAGCGTTTTCGTTATTTAAAAGTGGAGTGATAGTTTCTCCACTCCTTAAAAGTTATTAATTTACTCTGAAATACAGGGTAAACCACAAAGATTTAACGGATTTGTAATGTGCTTCAGAGTGACTTTAAGATATCTTCCTTCTCTCTAAGCTTCCCACTGTCTCAGCTCTGCCCTCACTCCTTTCTCAGTAAACATCTGCACCAAAATGCAAAGCCAGGGTTGCCCTATGCATGATTTTCATCTATATCCTGTGTCAGCTGGAGTGCCTGGATGGCTGTGACCACTGGTGCTTATAAAGGTTTGCTTCATTGCCAGAGTTCAGAAACAGTAACAGGTTGAGCTAGCTGTATTTGGATATTGGGAATAGCAACTTAGACTGTGGAGTGGTTCAAAAGCTGCTGCTCTGCAGGTTCTACTGCAGGTGGACAGCCCTTTCTTGGAGGAGCTCTGACATACAGAGCCTGCCTTTTGCCTAATGCATGTAAAGTGCCAAGTAGAGCATGGCCAAGGACTGTAATTAAGGTCCCTAGGATTTTCCGGAGATACAGGCAGCGTTAATTAATCTGTGGTCTTCTGTGTCTGATTCAGAGAAAGCAGCTGAGTTGTGTTCCTGAGGGGCTGTCCAAGAAGGCAGGCAGCCTGCAGGGATGGAAGGTGCTCAGGACATTTTCTCCTGTTGTCAAGCTGAAGGGGTCTCAGCTGTGTCATGCCCAGCTGTGCTGAGTAGCCATGCCTATTGCAGAATGCTTCAGCTGCAGGCCTTTTGCATGGATGATGGAGCCTTGCTGAGAAGGAGCTGGTCCTGCACTTACTCAGAGAGACAGCTAGGCGTTTGTGGTAAGGAATTGGGATCTGGGGCTGAAGCCACAACCTCCAGGACCAAACCATAGAATTTACACAGCTGCCAAGGCCTACCCTTTTGCCTTCCCTGATGAAAGTCTGTCATCACACGGCTTTTGCACTTCTATCTGCTCTAGTCAATATTAGTGGACGGAAGAATCTGTTTTGTTCAGTATAGCAACGATGTCTAGATCAGTTTAATTTTATTAGCTGCTGCTGATTTATTGCTATTCAGTGTATCCATGGATTTGTTTAGTATCAATAATCAAGAGTAGAAATACTTGCACAGAAAGCTAAGTGGAAATGCTGAGTTTCTGGAGCACTCCACGATTTCTTTTGCTCTTCTTTGTTTCCATGTTCTTGGAGGTGTGAAGAACACTTGTCCATTCATAACTGAAACTATTCAAGGTGCAGGAGCCTGAAAGGGCACTGTAGGTTTCTGCTGCTCTCTGGTGTAGTAAAGATATTGTCTTCTAGCAAACATTATGAATGAAAGCTCTTTTTACACGGAGAGATGGTAAGTTTGTGTACTCAACTTCTGTTTGGAAGAATATTTTGATGTGAAGCCTTTCTTTTTCTAGAGGCTTGAGCCAATTGCTTTTAATCTGGGAGCTTACAGAGTAGGTAAGTGCAGCTGTATTGTGCTGGGTAGATATCAACCTCAGGTATTTGTGCATGGATCTCTCCTTGGCCTGAACTGGAGAAGGGCAAGAGTTTGTTCACTTTCTGTCACTGAGAAAAATGAATACTGTTCTACATAAGCTATAATTTCTTCCTAAGTAAATGATGACTAAAGAAGGCCTGAACTGAGTATAGATAATCTTACATTTACTTGAAATGAATGTAGCTCATAACTCTTATTTTAGCACCAATCTGGAACACTATTGTGAGCAGATTTACATCTGCCTCTTCCCTACCTTGGTATTCTGGCATTTATGCACTCACTGCACTGGTCGTGCACATTCTTGCAGTGGTACTTGGAAGTTCAGTGAAGCCCAAGCGTTTGAAAGGTGAGTAGGTAAAAGGTAGATACTTTGAGGGCCAAACCTATTCCTTTTGTGTGCGCCATGATCTTATTTTAGTTTTTAAATATAGTTTCATTCTTCTGATACTAAGAGTCAGCACTGATTTCAGTATGTGAATCATCAGGAGAGTTATTAACTGTTTTCTAGTTGCATGGTCCTTTGTTGCAGCATTGAAAATATCTAACTTCAACCACGTGTTTTTAGATGAGATACTTATAGGAAGCCTTTTCTGTGATTATAGAAGAGCAGCTTTAATCTGGAAGTCATTGAGAGAAACCAATAAAGAACTTCCTTGATGTGATTTTTGGAGTTACTTGCTGGAATTGAATTGCATGTTTTTGGGTATTAGGCATAAGGGTACTTGAAAGCTTAAAGAAGCTTAAATGCGGATGATAATGAAAATGTTATTGGTATTTATAGGTCAGTTGATAACGTCAACATATTAAAGTGATGTGAAATATCTCCTTGATTTCATGGACAGTGCCTTACTCTATATAATTTATTGTAATAACATGATCCTTGATATACACTGATTATAAGTTAATTTTATACAATTTTTTTTTTAGTAATCCAATTGCCCTGAAATGCCTTATCAAAAGTATGTTTTTTTACAAAACATATACAGTTACTGTCTGCCAGTGTTATCTCTAAGAAAGCAATCTAAGCCAAGAAAGCACATTTGGAAAAAAAATGCCAAGCAGAAATAGCTTTTTTTGTTGTTGTTTTTTTCTTCTGTTAGACTTTCTGGGAACATTCGTTAAGAGTTGGAGAAGTGGTCTTTCAATTAAATTTCTTTCACCCAGATTATATGCAAACTGCATGATTCTTCAAGAATAAAGTCATATGCCCCGAGTATGATACTAGCCTTTATTTTAATAAAAATAACTTTAGAATAGGTATCTTGTTTGGTGAATTGCCTTCCTTGTCATTCATCACTGTGTAACATTTTTGTAGAACAACAGTAACTGGAAGGAAGAAAAATACTGGACAGTGTTTCTTGGAACTGGGGTTGGCAGAGGTCTGCCTTTCTGGAAAAGAAATGCTGATTTTCATTCTTTATTTTGTCCTGGCCTCTTTATGCTACTGTGTACTGGAAGAAAAGAATAAAAGCGCTAGATAAGCTGTGAGTTCCCTTTGGACCAGACTTTGGGAGTCCCTGCTCTGACATGTATTTTGGGGTTACTTTATCCTGGGGGACTTTATTCACAAAATCTCAGAATGTATTCTTGAAATAAGATTTCACATAGTTTGATAAATGTTTGGATAAATTTCATACCATCTTATCAAAGCAGACAATAGCTCTTTCTTGAGGAACTGAGCTTAAGTGAAATGCTCATTTATGTTGGTGGAATAATAATTAGGAATACAAGATCCAAATCAGTACTTTGTTATTCTGTTGCAGGAGTAGGCTGAATCAAGCCTCTGTCAAGAACCACTGCTGAAATACTGAATTAACATACCCAAGACCAGCACATCAGGAGGATAGCCTTCTGCCAAGAATAGTGTGAAGATATACCTTGCTTTCGGATAGACACAACGTGAAGATACTCCTTTCTTTTGGACAGACACAGTGCATCCTCAGAGGGCAGAGATGTTGCTGCTCTCTGAGCACTGCACATGCTGTGTTCATGACTAATGGAAACAATGCCCAGTTTTGTGGGAGCTTGGTGGTATGGGAGAGAGTCACAGCAGCTCTAATTGGGTGGCTTATCGCTTTCTTGTGGAGCCAGGTACAGCTTCTGTTCTCTTTTGCACTTGCAAATCTGGTATAATATGAATTAGATTGTCATTAGGTTTCATTAGTGAAGCTCCATAAAACAAAAAAAAAAGGAAAAGTTCTATAGTCGTGCTAAAACTTGGTATGTCATTTATGTGAAGGGAGTGATCAGAGATTAGTAGCCATGAAATGCTGCTTTTCCAGAAATATGAAATAATTAGGTAAAATATCTAGGTAAAATCTAACAGAAATATGATTACTGTCTGATAAAATGGTTCCTCTTCCCTTCTAAATAGGTTAGGGCATCTCCTTAATGCAAGCCCTGCACCTTCACCTAGATTCCTTCCCAGGCAGCTACAGTAGATATGCTCACCAAGGGAATTTGTCCCACTGGATTCCTTTTTTTTTTCTGTGCAGTTGAATGAAAAGTGTGTGTCTTTTTTGAAGAACAGGAACTGAAAGAAATATTGATAACTGCCAGGGCATCTACAGAAAAAGATAAGAAAATTACTCTTGCAAACAGTGAAGACAAAGGGCCTTTGTTAACCTTTTCTTGTAGGCTGTATATATTAATAGTAACAAGTAAAGTTTTGTATTTTTTCAGAGAAACACACAAGGCCTTGAATTGTATTGTTTTAATTGCAGCTAACTGAATGAATTAAGTGGAAAATCACATACAGTGTTTTGATTGTCTAATTCTCTGTATGTGAGGCTTTGGGAACAGTTTGTTATTATAAAAGAACAGCACTAACCAGAAATCAGCCAACATGTAATTGCTAGGCTGAGGGGCAGTTTGGGGAAAGCTGATAGTTATTTGTAAATTATTAAATAAAAGCACAAAATATGAGTATCATCTCTCACTGCCTCCACACTTCATACATTACTCATCTTCCTAAATTTCATGGTTTTGTACTCCCTTAGTACATTGCTGCTTATAACCAGTGCAGGCATCAAAACCACCTACATCCAGGAAAGGAGATGCTTGTGCATTTGTTGTGATGGCAGTTTTGGTTATGGGACTATGATTATGATGGGACTAAGATTATGAACCTTCAGTTGAAGGAAAGGAATCTTGACTCAAGTTTTAAAGGTTGTTTTCAGTACCTAAAATAGACCTGACCACCTGTGACTCTTCAGGTGGCTGAAATTCTGGCTGGTGTTTCCACTTGACTATGTACCTTTAGAGAATTACAGACAGCCAGTACCCTAAATAGAAGACTTAAGAGCAATTTTGGCATTAAATTTGACAGAGTTCTCAAAAAAATATTGGTTATGTAATTCCCATCAGTTTTGGTAAGAATCAGATAACTTCTGGTTATTGAACTCATCAAGAAGGTAGAGCAGTAAGTACTTAATTCTCAGTGCTTTTGGCTATTTCAGTTCTCCTGGAGGATAGTGTTGCCATTTGTTCCTTTAGCACAAACTTGAAGGCTTTCTTCTAGGAAAGCAAGGTCTATTTCAGAGGACACAGAAGCAGTTCCTTGTGCTATGTAACAAGGGGTTGGGTAATGTCTGGCCTCACAAGTGAGATGCATGTATTACAGACCAAGAGGCCTTTGTGATCTGCAGCAGAGGCTGTGGATGGGAAGGTGTGTCAGCACCTGGGGCATTGGCACTACTGGACACATCTTTGGACTTGCTGAGCTGCTATATCCAATATTTCTGCTGTACAAACAAACCCCACTATTAAACCACTTAAACACTGTTCATACAACTTCAAAATGGTAGAGGCTTGGTTTTATGACTTCATCTCCAGGCTTGTTGAAACTTACATGTCCATGCTGAAATGGTGTGAAGATTAAATTGCTAATCCTAGCTACCAGCGTAGACTGTTGCACAGAAGGTGCCTGAGAGGTGGAACTGGGCAGACTTCAGCTTTGTACAGCTCTCCAAGAGTTATTTGGTATCCCTGTCACTGTTTCTTGAAGTCAAAAAATATTTTCCCCCAAATAACCTATTTTTCTGCAAGGGAACACAGCTGCATTTATGAAAGGTCTTTCTTTTACAGTAAGTCTGGTTTGTAATCGTTTCCTCTCTCTATGTATGTTGACTGCATAATGAAACACACAGTTTTGTTGCAGGAATTTTTAACAGTGGTTTTCAGTAGTTTAGAAAACATTGGAGCTACTTCCAACAAACAAAAAAAAAATCAAAGCAGCTTTGAAAATGTTGATACACTTTGGCAAAAAAATCTTTGGTTTTAACCCTGCTCTATTATTCTTTCTCTAGTACTAAAACCAATATAAAGCATTATTGATTTCAACTAGCTCAACAGGAGAGACCATATGGCTTTCACCCCACTGTCCCCTGTGTTGAGGGGCTAAATCTCAGCTGTGTTCATGTGCAGCATTTGGCTGAGTGTTCTGAGACAGCCTCTATTCAGCAGTTGTGTGCCGTGTTAAAGCTGTCTTTGCTGCACCTTTTTCCAGCACGACATAGGAAGTTTCCTGGATTGAATTCTCAATCACAAAACTCATATGGGAGATACTCAAAATATAAGACCTTTCAAATCCTTATGCGTTCACAGTATTTAAACATAAGAGCACAGTATTGCCAAGAAATGTGTCTTGTTGAGTCCCACAATTAACTTTATCAAAAGAAGGAATCTTATTTTTGCCTGCTGCAAATAGAGGTTGCATCTCAAAGCAGCCTAAGCTTAGGGATAGCATCTGGTTCAGATCACGATATGATGAAAGATTCAGGTTAATTAGTGTTTATTCTTAGTTGATAGTTATTCCTTTTGGCTTGAGCTAACAAGCAGGATTTGAAGTCCCACGAAGTTGTATCTCCTGGGATGAGAGATGAATGAGGGAGGGAGATGGTCTTCATGGTGAAAATGTATTTAGTCAGTAAGAAAGACTGGCCATTGCCTTGGGTTCTGATACCCTGAAGGGAGGATGCTCTGAGGAATGACTCAGTGCCAGCAGGGAGATTTGGATGTCGGCATGGACTGAGGCATCCCACGGGGCCATGGCCGGGGTGGGGTGCCCTAGTTCCCTGCTCGATCCTGTGCCCTTACATGTCCCTGCCCACACAACCCCTGCCTGCCACCGATGGCCCTAACTGTGTATTTTTGGCCACAGGGAGCAGCTGTGGAGAAGGTGGCTTTCTCAGTGCTCTTCCAAGGCTTTCAATTCCCCTTTCTTGCCACTATTTCCTGCAGCACCACATAAGCTCTACTAGCAAAAACACCACACCACAAGTGTAAGGACAGCTGTTCATCTTAGATAGAATTATTTTTTTCCTGAGGTCTCCTAACTGCTTATGTAGCTAGGAGGAGCCCACCAGCTGGAGACTGAGACATTTCTAGCAGGCCTCTGTGTATCTAGGCAGAGGTGCTCTTATCCAGTAACCTCGTGAACTGTTTTTCTCCCTCAGGCAGCCACAGAGAAGGTAATTTCTACATTGGTGGAAATTCTCTGACTTCACAGGTTCCAGTGGCCTGGGCAAGGGCAGTCCCATAGTGGGCAGGCAGCAGGCCTCCTGCCCCACAGCCGTAGGGCCCCACTTTTGTGCTCTGCCACATGACAGTCTGGGTCCCCCAGCAGGCAGGGCTGTGGGGAGGCCATTCCTGTGCTGAAGCAATGGCAGGAGGACTGTGGGTGTCTCTGGGATGTCACCATGGCTTGGAGCATGGCGTGGGTTCAGTTGGGCAGCTTTTGCTTTGTGGACATGGCTGTACAGGCCAGCCAGCCTAGATTTGTGACTCTCCCCTGCACTCCTTTCTGAAAGTGTTTACTTCAAAGTCTCAACAAGACCTAAATTAATTCCCTTAACGTGCTTTTGGCCATCCCCTTTTCACCAGCCCTGTGGAGGAGGTGGGGAGGTGCTGGCCCCTGCATCTGTGTCAGACAGGCTGTGAGATGAGGCTAGATTTGCAATCCCTCTCCCATGCTTCTCTTTGCAGGGGCCTCGCTGATGAGCTGAGGGGTTGAACTGAGATAAAATAGCACAAACTGGGGTTTGGGGTGAAAGAAGGGGGACAAAAGGACTCCCAGACTTGCACATAAGTAAGATAGGTGGTAATTCTGCCTTGGAAACACCATGGTAGTTTCTGGAGGGATTCCTCAGAAGTGAGCTCCTGCCTTGAAGCACAGTGCTGGGCTTTGCAAACCCCTGGTCTCTCTGCTTTGCAGCCTGTGGCAGCCGGATAGGAGCCTCAGTGGACAAAGCTTGTGGCTTTTAGCACAGAAAAATTCTAAACTTAAACCAAACCATGTATAATAAATGTTAGGAGCACCAATTTCAGTGCTTGTGCCATCATAAAGAAACTACTAAAAGAAAAAAAATCAGGAAAATAGTTTTGTTGCTCCCTCAATTGTGGAAGCTTTATGATGTCCTGCTGTGCTGATGACAAAGGCCTATTACCAAGGCTGATTCCCAATTAGATCAGGTGTGTTCTATGTCATTATAGTCTCGAGCATCAGCTGTTTCAGTAGTGCAGCGAACTATTTGGGATTAGCAGCCCAGTTCTTTGCCTATGTAGAGGCATAGGCTGTTGATTTGGCCACCACTTATTGTCAACATGGCACACTTACATGGCTGTTGTGTATGCAAAGGTGTGGACAGATGGCTTGGAGATTATTAAGCTGAGTTAAAACTGGCTCTGTTTCTCCTTTTCCTGCTTCCTTTTCCTGCTCATTAGTTAAATGACTGGTATATGGTCCTACAAACCACCTGTGTCTTTAATTTGCTTCCCAGAAAGAAGAGAACAACACTCCTGCCTGTTATGTGATGAAAGACAGCTATGGATCTGCAGTAAACTCCAAGCTATATGGTAGCTACAGGTAAGCTCAGAAATTAAGCTGTTACTATGAAAAGCACAAAGCTTGGAAGCAATTTATTCCTTGTGTTTGTTCCTCATACTGACTGCTGGAAAGTAAATTCAGTTTTGTTCTATGCTCAGATCAAGTCCTTTCTAAGTGTTCTGCAGATTCACAGGACAGAATGGACTTTGTTTTGGAGGTATGAGGAGGCTGGATGAGCAGATGTGGGAGATGGAGTCAGGAGGTTTTGCTACCCTGGGTTACCCTGGGAGCTGGGTTACAGTTATGAGATGCTAGACTTGAAAGAAGTTCTCATTGTGCCTTTCCTTCCCTTCCCTTGAAATCTAAGGCCTTGTATTATTAATTCATGCTCTTTGTTGTTCCAAAGAGATGGTGGTCCTCCTGCAGCCTTTGCAATGTCTGGCAGCTGTGCTCTCTCAGAGACCTGTTCTAGGCCTGAATGTGGACATAATTGTTGAGTATTAATGTCTAGTTATTATAGCTGTTTTTTCAGAGGGAGCTTTTATTTCAATACTAAATGTATGTTTATATGCTTTTTTGAAGTGTTGTCTCAGACTTTGTATAGATTCAGGAAGACTTTATTGAATGTTGATAAGTACTAAAGATACTAGAGAGGATGTGGTTATGTTCATGTTTTGAAATAATTTTTCTACCACAAGGATTAGTATCTACTGCCTTCCTTTTAATTAATGACTTTTATTCTTAGTATTAACTTCAGACAGCATCTCTGGAATTTATTTGTAAATATATTTGCCAGAATTATATATTGGATAATTCCTCTGGTTCTAGCATGTCTGAAATGCCCATATGCAAAAGGCAATTAAAAATTAAGGTTGTACATGAATTGCATGTTCCTATCAGCTTTTAAACATCTTACTAGGAAATACTTTTCAGTTTTATTATGACTTTTATTCAAATTACTAATTAATAAATTACCAACTAGTAGTTTATTTAAATTACTATTTAAATTTACATGAGGAAAATAAGTATATGTACTGAAGGGGACTGGCTAAAACTATTCTTTTATTGTAGAATATTGTGAAGGATTTTCACACTAGCAGCCATTACAAAACCCAACCAATCCAATAGCATGGGAAAGCCTGTGGTTTTCAAGTAGTTGGGGTGTGTGGAAAGGGAAAGATTATAGAAGAGGCTTGGGGGAAAAAGAGGCTGACTTTTTTGTTTGGTGTATTGACTAGTTGACAATTTAGACCATATATATTTTTCTGTCCTCCTGTGACTAATCAGGATTAAGCTAAAGATATCTTGGAAAAGAAGGAAGTGTCTTAGTTTCTCAAATATTATGAGTTTCCACCTGATGATTATCATATACCTTGCTTCATAGAGTGCTAAGTCTGATTTAGTTTCCTCTACAGAGAAATGGAACATGACTGAAGCAGACATTTACACTATGGCAGGTTTCAGAGGGTCCATGAGCTTTCAGCAATGCCCTACACAAACATAACACAAATGCCAAAGTGTTTCTTAGATAACACTTCACCAATCTTAATTTCTGAACTTGTAT